AACTGCGGTGTGCCGATCGGGGTTGAACGGTTTTGTATACAGTAACATAAGCAGATTACTTGTGAATAAATGTGGTGGTGTGCAACACAACCAAACAACTGAACATCGTCTACATTCGGAAAGGTTGGCTAATGAAGGCAGTGTTAATAATCAAACTTTTATGGAGCAGAGGACTAGTTGTGGTTCTAATGAGTTAAATATGGAGGTTGTTGGAGAACAACCGTAGGTTTATAAAATTTTAATTTAAAAATGTTTTCTAACAAACTTTGTTTTAATTGCCATATCAGTTGTATGGCATCCAAAAAATAAATATTCCAACATATATCTTCAATAAGATAATAAGTTATCCAAAACTTAAAAATACGACTAATTTTACAAATGAATAATAAGCAAAACACGAAGATCTTCGTTTTAAGCTGTTATTCTATATGAATCAGCTCAACAAACTCTAAGCTTTTATTATATCCTTTCTAACACATGCAGGAATTAAAATAAACGGATCCGGATATCCGAATCCAAAAAAAGGATTTGAACACTTAACAATGTTTTTAAATTATTTGAACAAAGAATCAAATAGTCATAGCTGAGACCAAATATTTCGTCTTTCGTCATTTGCCTTTCGCCGATTTTCGCTTTTTTAGACTTTCGTCTTTCGCGGCTCGCTTTTTAAAATGACTTTCGGCACAGCTCTGGTTGGTGGATGCTGAACATTTGAGAAAAATTACTTAGCAAAATCTGCAACGAAGAAGTAAAGAAAAGTATGACAAAAGCAGGTTTCTAATTGTTGCTAAATGTGGACCAAGATTTAAAAAATAATGAAAAAATTAATTGTTAGAAATTTACTAATATCCAAAAAATATACTCATGATTTGTACAAAGAAACATACAACTGGATTAGCATTTGATTTTAAAAATAGAATATAAAATAAAAATTTATAAGGAACAGATCCTGATGTAAACATTATGCCGAGATCTTAATAAAAAGGACACGAATACGCGATTAAAAAACATGATGATATACTTTGTTGATGTTTTTGTCAGACGTTTGTTAGTGATATCTAACATCCAAAAATATTTAGAGACACACGATAGAAGATCAGTAAAAGGATTTACATTTGGTTTTAATAATGATATATAATGAAAAAATTTATAAGAAGCTCCAGAAATAAGACCAAGAGAATTGAAAGAGCGTGATAAATAGCCATATAAAACACGGTCTTACCAAATCGCTTAACGATCAAAACGCGGTCCAAAAAGTGAATGCAGAAAAAACTTAATGCAGACAGACTAAAAATGTATATCGTTCGTGTCTTGGTTGTTCCGTGATTTGGCAAGAACCGTAACTTGTCAGACCATGACTTGTTGCTCCTCTGTCGGCAAAAAATGGAAACAGGAGACCCTTGAACGTATTATTTGCCTGTATTGAGACATTCTCCTTTCCATTAATTCATTTCTGTATCATTTCCCATTTGATTATGAATCAGGCAAATATGCTAGAATTGAACAATGAAGAAAATGCTGACCATTATGTCGTATTAAGGAAGGTAAAAAGTTAATGGAAAAAGTAATGAAAAAAACGATTCCCAACCTCCTTTCATAAAGTGTCACAAAATCCATGTCCATTACCAAGCAGCTAAAAACTACTTCATTTGATTTAATTAATTAATTTCAGTCTAAATGTAGTTGGAAAATTTACTAAATTTGACTTGTCTTCACTCGCTTTATTTTTTGGATGTCGCAGTTAAGCAGACAAAAAATCTTTATTGTGTTAAATTAAGATGGAACATTCGAATTCTTTCTGCTAAATTTGCTTATAAAGTTAACTAGTGTCGCCAAATTTTGATTAAGAATGTTAATCATAAATTGACAACATAGTAGTTGAATAATAAAAGAACACGTTGCTTGGTAGGTAGTTTTTGACTAGACTGAAACTTTAGTAAATAAAAACTGGCTCTTTTATACTATAACTACACTCCGCCACATAATTATATGAACACCCCTAAATTTCCACTTTTTACCGTAAATAGCAGACAAATACCGATTTTTCTCATTAATATATTTTAGAAATCGTCTAAAAACGCATTAGAAAAAAGAAAATCTGAAAATGGATTTAGGGTAAATTTTTTAAGAAAATTTTCAATTTTTCGACCGCCACATAATTATATGAACACTTTGGGTTTTTGTATTTCTAAAGGTAGGAAAAATCTAGAAAAATTCCAATTAACTTATTTATCGATGCCAAGAAAAAATAAAAAAGAGATAAGCCCATATCTGTTTCCAGTTTCGAGATTTCGATACCCCGAAAATCAACGTAAAACAGGGGTAAGCAGCTTCGAAAAATTTTTTCGACCCCTTATGGATTATTTTAAATTTTTATATTAGGCTTATCTGAAAGCCCTTGAAATTTGCTACAAGATACTAAAAATTGTATTTTTTAGAAAAAATAAATTTAAGAGATATTTATCATCATACTTCCGTAGCGATCTTATTGGGCATTTTACGGGGTAATTTGTCGTTTCTTGTGATTGAGAGATTTAACAGTTAATTAAATGCCGAGATATTTTTTCTAGAAAATGAGGTTAATTACTATCTTGTAGCAAATTTCAAGGGCTTTCAGATAAGCCTAATATAAAAATTTAAAATAATCCATGAGGGGTCGAAAAAATTTTCAGAAGCTGATTACCCCTGTTTTACGTTGATTTTCGGGGTATCGAGATCTCGAAACTGGAAGGAGATATGGGCCTAGTTCTTTTTTATTTTTCCTTAGTATCTATAAATAAGTTTATTCAAATTTTTCTAGATTTTTCCTACCTTTAGAAATACGAAAACCCAAAGTGTTCATATAATTATGTGGCGGTCGAAAAATTAAAAATTTTCTAAAAAAATTCGACCTGAAACCATTTTGAGATTTTCTTTTTTCTAAGGCGATTTTAGCCGTTTTCTAAAATATATTAAGGTTAAAAATCTGTATTTGCCTTCCAAATACGGCAGAAAGTGGAAATATAGGGGTGTTCATATAATTATGTGGCGGAGTGTAGAAGTTTACTCAATATAATTAAATTAATTAATAGCAGTTTAAATATTGTTGGAAAATTTTCCAAATTGATTGACTAAGCAGTGATGTTGTTATTTTTTTGATGTCGCAGTTAAGCAGACAAAAATTCATTGTGATATAGATGGGAATCCTGATTTTTTCTAGCTTAAATGTCGTTGGTCAATATGAAAAATGGTGCCTTTATGACAATTTATTAGATACGTGCGAGATCGAAAATTTCTTAGACTAGTAAATATAGATTGGAATCCTGATTTCTTTCTGGCTGAAATGTCATTGGTCAAATGAAAAAATGTTGCCTCTATGGCAATTAATTAGATACGTGCGGATCGAAGATTTTCCTGAACTATGTCAAAAATTTACAAAAATCAGCACAATTTTTGGGCACATGAAGCAAATATTTGGTTTATTGTTGGCACTTGGCAAACTATAATTTCGAGGAATTTATAAGAAAAGAATTATAAAGAAAACACAGTGAACCACATCTAATTAAACTTTTAAGTCTACACCTTAATAATTTATTAATTTTATATTTATTTTAGACAATAAAATCTGTGATGTTATTGAATGTTGGCAACTAGCAAAAGGCACGGTTTTATTTTTTGGATGTCAATTCTTAAATTGACAAAAAATAAGGTGTCCAAAAATTTTGGTTTTAGGGCCGAAAAATTCTGTTCGAAGAATTCGAATTAAGAAATATGTGCAAATGAGTTGAGGACGTGGCGTCGTAAATTTCAAAATTGTCCGTCAAATATTTTTTATGTTATAGTCTATAGACCTCCAAAAATTAGGCATTTTTCTGAAAATCTGCTAAATCTACTTCATTTGATTTAATTAATTTCAGTTTAAATATTAGTGGAAACTTTACTAAATTATTTTACTTTCTAATACTGTACACATCTTATTTTTTGGGTGTCTCATTAAGCAGACAAAAATTCTTTATAGTGTACCTTATTTAGAGTGAAATTTTGATCTCTTATGGCTTAACCTAACTTTTCAGTTCGGTTAGGCTACATCGCCCTGCAAAATTCACGCTTAAGTCGTCAATATCCAACCATTTTCGTATGGGAGTAATATACTAGGCTATTAGTTAGTCTATTAGCAACACTATTTACCTTACTATATCCTATGTTTTTAGGTCATTGTTCCTATTTTCTAACTGGAAATGACTGTTTAACTTCATTTAACAGTCAACAGATGAATCAGACAGTATATTTTCCATTAGTTTAAAATTTTAGGCAGAGAGGACTCAAATTTTAAATTTTACTCCAACACAAAATAATTTTGATTGTTTGTCTGCTTAACTGAGACATCCAAAAAATAATAGCATGTCCGACCCCGTTCGACACAATTTAGTAAGATTTACAACGATATTTAAACTGATATTAATTAATTTAATCAAATGAAGTAAATTGATTGTTATAATAACTAATGACGGATTCTGATAGACGCTGATTTTAATTACTGTCGTTATTCTGTTAGGTGATTCCCTTTAAGTATATTGTCTCTATTACACAATATACGTCCAATCGACTTTTATACGTCCAATCAAACTTTATGTTAACTAGTTTAATAATAGAAGAACACGATTTTGTTTGAAATTGAGAAATATTTAGACTGTTAATGTCTTTAACTTGACTGAAACTGTCGTGATTAAAAACTATGTATTTCTTTTATACTATGACTTTACTTGTTATCATTAATTTAATTAATATCAGTTTAAATATTTTTAGAAAATTTCTAAATAACTGAAAAAATTTTATTTATTTATTATTTTTGGATGTCTCATTTAAGCAGACAAGAAATTTAAATTGTGTGATGAAGTAAATGTCAAGTTCGGCTTCTAAAAGTTTGAGTTGTTGATGGGGTGATTTGATTGATACAGTGACTGTTAATTAATGTTAACTATGACTAGTGTTAAAGTCTTAAGGTTAATACCATTTTAATCCATAACATTTTCAATAATTTATCAAGCAAGTTTAAAAAAGCCTAAAGAATTAGCTGATTCAAATAAATTTTTAATATGGCATCATTTTTTCACTATACGTTGGAGGTTGATCAGACGACACTCCTCCACTGCCCAAATTGATAGCAACATCCCATTCATTAAAAACAAAGAGGCGAACACCTTCATCAACCTCAATAGGATAGCCTTTGCGTCCGCGAACCCAAACCTTTTAAATAAAAATTGTTATTTTCGAGACTAGGCAACACTAAATTATTCAAGAATACTTAGTCGGACGTCATTAAAAAACTTTAGTGTTAGGGTGGTACGTTGGGCTGCGGTACTTTGGCCTGCTCTCAATGCTAGACAGGTCCTCAGGGGAAATCAAATTTCAAAAGAAAAATGGAGTGTATCTTTGGCATTTTATAGTGAGAACGTCCTACAAATGGAATTCAAATAATACCGAAATAATACTACGGTAAACCAAACGGTGCCGAATACTATTAGTGAGATCAGACTTTTAAAATATTTTTGTTTAAAATTACCTCATCCCCAACTTTAAGATGGCCAGTTATCATTGCCCCGCCTTGATTAAACGTTGATGCTTCAGCTACACGAACAACCCTTCCCTGTAATAATATGTATAAACATGACTAAAAGTATACTCACAAGAATGAGATCGTCCATACTAGCCCTCTGACCCGTGTCTCTACTGCGAGCTTCGTTTTTATATTTTTTGTCAATTTCGATGAGAACATTTCCTGGCACCAAATTAACTTCGTTGAACGGAATTCTTGGAAGGGCGTTACCCATAATTAGTCTGAATAATTAGATAATTAGTTCAGGGAATATGGGCACTGTAAAGCTGAGCTCCAAAATTATTGAGAAAGTTAGTTGACAAATTTTGGGAATTATTAGATCCGGTTGGATTTTGGGCATAGAACTCGATATCAGTTTTTCTTTGACCAAACTGTTAGAAAAATCTTGGGGCCCAGATTTCTAGTGTTCGATTTCCGGACATCAAAAAAGCACCCAAATTATTTCGCAAGTGAATTGGGTAATGGGATTTTTTTTAAAAGATCGACGGGACAGGAAACCGGTGGATTAATTCCGTAAATACCTGGATCCTGATAATCCCGTTTGGCAATTAAAATCAGACTAGGACATGGATATAGATATGGATACAGATCTTGTAAAAATGCCTGCGGATATCCGTCTATATCCGTGTCCTAGTCTGATTAAAACACGACATTCCGGAATGTGTACGGGGCAGGGCTGCGGAAATTGCGGGGGTTTTTGCAATTGCGGGGTGCGAGTGCGGATTTTTAAAAAAGAAATTGCGGGGTCATTACGTCATTTACGTCACACCACTTTAATGAATATTATAAAAATAAATTTTGGAAGTTTAATACATACTTGGACGAAAGAATGATGTGTCTATCTTTATAAAAGGAGTGGTTTTATATAAAAATTATTGGGTAAAAATAAAATCAATATTTCCTCGAAAAGAAATGGGCCCAATGACAACTTCTTTTAGGAAGCATTTTGTTTTTTTTTGAATTTTTGGTTTTATTTTTTCTTTTTCTATATTTGCGTCATTTACCAGTTTACTTGTTATAATTTAATTAATTAATATTGGTTGAAATATGTTTTTTCGGGAAATGTTCTAAATTATTTATCACTTTCGCTTATTTTTTTGGATGTCTGATTTAAGCAGACAAAAGTTCTAGAATTTGTATTTTGTAAGATTTGGAAAAGTAGAATTCATCATCAAATAAATTTAAGAAATCGGCATAAAGGCATAGTCTCAGACTTTAATAATTTTGCCAATGATTTAAATGGCATACAAAAATAAAAACAGCAAGTGGATACTTTAACATATAACACTACTAAAATCTTACATTTTAAGAATAATAAATTTACAAACATATATTAATCGTTTTTAAAAAGATCCGAAGGATCCGTCAACTAAACCTAACCGTATCGACAATGATGTGAGAAAATTCAAATTCTATTCTGATTGTTTTCAATCATGTAAAGCGAAATCTCTCTAATATTACACATCCTCGACAGCATCTTCCTTCAAAATGATTGGAAATGGATGACTGTATATTTTTTTGTGCATGGTAAAATTTCGAAGATTTCGGAAGGCCAAGGCGAAAAAATATATATACTTTATAGTATCACAAACCCTACTTAATATACAAATTTTTTAAAATTTGCTAGCAATTTTTTAGTCCCGGTTTTGGTATTATTGCTAGTATTTTGGTATTATTCGACTCCACTCGACGAGTTCTTTAATTAATCTCATTTCTCATATGAAATTATCCTTAAGGTATTATACAAAAATTAGATTTTTTCTAAATTATAGTCTCCACTGGATAAATTATTAGACGATGGACCAGACCGAACGAATCTCCATCCCGGACATTTATGCGATGCAAATTGTGAAATCTGCAAAATGGATACACTTAAGAAATTAAAGGAAAAGAAATTGCTTAATAAAAATTTTAATAGAAAAATATTTGGGCCAAATAATTCACCAATATATTATTCTCCGCCTTCGTCTCCATATTTTTCAATCCCTCAACTCCCAATATTCCTTTACATCCTCCTCCTCAATTACATTCATATTTAATTCCTCCACATCCAGTTCCTCCACAATTGCCACCACAACCAGCCCTTTATATACTTCCAATCCCACCATCTCCTCCTCATCTCCCAAATTCTTAAATAATCCCTCCTCCACCACCACCTATTTTATGAATTTAAATGATACTTGTGTTATCGTTCAACTTTTTTTGTGGAGCTTTTTAATTATTTTATTTTTTTAACAATATTGAAACATAATTTTTAAGGTATGCAACTTATAGATAATTATTCAATGAAATTCAAATGGAATGAGGGAATTTCCCGCTTCCTTTTGTTATTTATTGTTGTAGATTTTATTTTAATTGAATTCTGGGTAATTTTATGTTCAATTTTGATAAAAAATAAATACCATTTAATTTTATTGTTTATTTTATTTTTGCAACATGCCCTTTTAATTTTATATTAATTTTAAATTTAAATTAAATTTAATTATATCAATAAAAATAATAACCGAGAAATCAAGCTCGACTTGATTTATTGGTTAATATTTAAAATATTTAATCCCCAAAAATGATAGAATTTTGCATTTATATTAATTAATTTTTATGAAAATAATTTATTTTAAAAAAATTTTTTTGAGCTACCTAATTTTATATCTAAAACAAAATATTATTTGTTTTAAATATGTAGCTATTTTTGAGTATCGTCTCTTTTCATTATAAAATTAGATTAGTTTAGATATTTTTAAATTAAATATGTAATCATTTAACTTCTTAACTCGCGACGCAAAATTTTGAGCAAAATATTAATTTATCCAAAAGGGAATAAAAAAATTTGAATCGTTCGCCTTTCGAAGCTGTTAACTGAAAAGTTTTTTAAATTCTCTTTTTTATATATCACATAATTTAAATAAATTTTGTTAACGATATATATATAATTATACGAATATATAATTATTGTAAATGTCACATATAAGCCAGATCATTTTATAAGCACATTTCTATTAGAATCCCACCCGGTGAGACTCATCAAAAAATATAATCCCACTCTCTAATAGAAGCACTCTAATATAAGCCAATCAAAAATATTTTGATAGGTTGATGTATAATTGATGTGTAACAATCATTTTTATATTTTTATTAAGCATAAACTAAATTTAAAAATCCTTTTAAAAATCGAATTTCAAAATTCGATGAGTAGGGCTGGACAATTAATATTGTGAGTTTTTCTTATCGCCTTAAATTTTGACAATGACTAAAATCGACAGTGATTAAATTCAACGTTAGAATTCGCAAGTGAATAAACTCGAAAAGTAGCCATATTTTTAAAAAGTGCGAATACTTGGAATTCGCACCTAATTTTGAGACAGAACTGTCATTTTTTTGAACATTGTTATTTTTTGTTTATGGTTTTTTTCACACCGAACCGACTACCGGAGATTTTCGGATTCGACAAATACATTTTTCAATGACTTGAGATTTTTCAGTGATGACCTAACTAATCGGATTATTAATAATATGTACTATTATTAAACTTGATTTTGAATTAAAATATATTTTTTATAATAACTTTTTGACTACAAATGATTTTCAGCTATCTCTATGTAATCGGTAATCTTGTCAATATTGAAATGAGGAAGTGCCATTTTTAAAATAAGTGTTTATTAATTATAAACTTTATTTATTACAATATAAATTATTAAAATATAATCTTTCAAGGCTTTTGAATTAATTGTAGAGTGTTTATCCGAATATTTTTCATTAATTGTTACTGATTATACATCGTAAATAATTATAATCATGATTAATCGTATTATAAATAGGACAATTTTTAAACTTGATTTTTAATTAAAAAATACTTTTTTATAATAACTTTTTGACTACAAACTATTTTCATCAATGTTCATAAACTCATCAATGTTCATAAACTTAATAATGGACAGATAGTAAACTTTACGGCATTTTTACTCCATAACTTTAATTTATTTTATTGAACTTAAAAAACACATTTTCAAGAATTTTATAGTCTCATTCTTGCCAAAAGACAACTGCTTTATTTTTGGATGTTAGTGCTCACCGCTGACAAAACTGCGTTTTAATTCTAGTTTAAATGCCTAAACTGTATAATTCCTAAGGTTGTTTCTCGACCGGCGGATGTATCTATGGAAAATTCTGATGAGAGACTGATATGGTTAAAGATAAATTTTTACTAGCTATCATTAGGGATCGGATTTATATTGAAAATCGGAAAATATGGGCATAAAATACTTATAATAAAATTTTATTATACAATATCCTAGCTTTTGTTGACGAGAACCTGTACCTTTTTCCCTAAATTTATATTTTATATTAGTAATAAACAGTTTAATTGGAATTTTTTGTATTTCTAATCCTACCTTTTAAGTCACTTACAAAAATAATAATATAAAACAAGTGTTGAAGGAGAATAATGCATGTTAAGCCATGTTATTTTAAAAATTTATCAAGAAGATACTTAAATAAAAAATATAAATATGCTTTAAAATAAAAGATACTTTTTAATAAGAGATACTTTAAAATCGAAAGTACCCCTCAGGTCTTTTATAATTAGCCAAAATTTTAATAAAATTTTATATCAAGTCCGACCTTTCAAATATCGGCTTCGTCTGAGTTCCAGGCATTTTTAATTGTTGGCACCGGAGTCCAAACTTTCGAAAGTTTTTCATCGCATTTATTTGTTATCGTCGAAGTACTTACGCCCTAAGGTACTGATGAGAAATACATATAAGAAATTTTAAATTGGTAAATTTAAAATTAAATAATATTTAATAATTGATATAATAGAGTTGATTTGAGGCTAATCAGAATGTTTATTTGAACACAGAGACAGTGACTGAATAATAGAATTGATTTCATACAGGGCTGCCGCCCGAACCTCGATACCCGGCATTATTTGTACCCGAAACCCGAAAAGAAAATTAGCTAATGCCAAATTTGCCAATAAAAAATTTGCCAAAATTGCAATTTTTGTTCCCGCGGCAACAATGTTTTATAATTAAAGACAATACCCAACGGAAAAATTAGGTTATAACATACAGGGTTACCCAAAAGTAAGTCGGGCCGCATTTTTGGCATATCATTCTTGAAATTAAAGAAAATGGGATCAAATAAGGTTTAAATGATAGAGGATAAAATAATGAACAAATATAATAAAAAAATTCGAAGTGCCCACCCTTGGCTTGGATAAAGTGTTAAATATAAATCAGAAAAAATTATGATCAAATGAAAACTGCCCGGTAACCTTTGTGACACCCTGAAAACTCGATCCCTAGCTTAAAACATTTTATCTCAAAAAGAGAATAACGATGAAGCCCATTCTTTAATCATCTTTTAATCATCTTCTAATCATTTTTGTAATTATCAACCTATTACAATATTTAAATCTGCTACCAATTTTTTAAGTGTCAGATGTTTTATACGTGCTCTTATCTAAAACAAAATGAGAAATTTCTTATTAAAAAGACTAATTAACCTTATTGGTGACAATAAATACAGAATTATCTTCTTTTAAAATACTGAGTCCAGCGCTCCATAATTTGTAATATTTTGAAAGAAATATCTTAACGGAAGAAAATGGATTAGTAAATATAGATGTTTATCGTGTTGGGAGGTTAAAACCCAAGCTTTACTCGAAAATGGCGAACCCAAGCTTTTCTCTCAAATGGCGATATTATAATACATAACAGTAGTGATTAATTAGATTTAAATATTACTGACTGCATGGGCTTTAGTTTGTTGATTTATTATTTTTCTGGAACTCTTCTGACTATAGTCAAATAGTCTTCTATGCAGCACTTTGCACATTGCAAAATAGACCCCAAGTCGACATACATTACGGCCAATTCTTTTATCTGTTGCAATATCCGCTCCACTTTCATGTATTGGTGGTTGTTGTTGTGGAAGTTGAGGAAATTGTTGTGGAAATTGTTGAAAAAGCTGTGGCATTGTGATATGACCACTGCTATATCTTTCATATTGTTGAATCTCATCTTCATCAATTGCATACAAATTTGGCAATATTCTATGACTCATAGAAACATTTGCTGGGTCGGTATGCACCAAATTTCCACAAAATTTAGTTGCTCTTTCGTTTATAACTCTTAAAAATGTATCATTATTTGATGAACGTAATTTGTCAAGATTCATCTCTATTTGAGTTAAAACAGGGATTGTTTTTTCTAGAAGAAGAAGGTGATCCTTAAATATTTTTGATTAGAAATTTAAGATTTTATAAAATTTGTTATTCATCACAATATAATACTATTGTAGAGTCTGTACAAATCTAGATAGCGAACACAAAATTGAAAACATGTGCTCGAATAATAGCGGGATCCGACACTAGATAAGTTTGCAAATATCAAAAAATATAACAGCTTAAATTGTATAACAGCTTAAATAAATACCTCATTATTCACACCCAAGACTTCAATAATAGCATTTTCGACAGCATCCAAGTAGGAAATAATCATTTCTAGATTAGGTGCTTCTACTGTACATTAAAAAAGAAAAATCAATTTATTTTGAATAAAGATATGTTAATCATTAAAAAAATGCCCTAATATATAACAATAAACACCTCTTGGAGGCAAAACGAGAGATGGCCCAGCTTGATCTGAACTTGATTCTTCTGAGTCGTCATACAAGCTATCAAATTCTCCAGGAAATCTTTCCATACCTCCACGTGATGCTATAAATGCTTCTCTTGCACGAGCTCTATTAGCTTCTTCATTTTTCATAAAGGCTGCTCTAGCCGCAGCTTCTCGTTCTTCAGTGTCGGCACTTGAAGGTATTAATCCAGAACTAGGAACTTCATCACCATGTTGCGCTATTTGAGTGGTTCCTTGTACGTCTTCATATATGTCTCTTTCTGCACCGCCATCAGCACTACAGCAATCTATAAATTTAAAAAATAACATTTTATATGTCAATTGTTTTTTCCTATTACTTTCAGAAAAACATGTCTGAGCCCCGTCTGGCGGTCATATAAATAAACTAAAATGTGTAATATTTATTTTTGCCTTCCGTCTAAAGAGAGAGACTTAAACAGACTTATTACTTATTCCCTCCCACCCCAGTCAGCGTTTTAATTGAAGTCGCAATGGTCAGTCACTTCTTCCTTGCATAATTTTAAAAACTTTTCCTGCAGTCACATTCAAGGATTCATTCTTCCTTCAATTCAGGAATCTTTTTTTATTTTTGATTGCCTGACTCATACATTTTTCCCTTGTTTTTAATAAATGACTGAATAAATAGATGTTTATTTTTTCATATTTAAAGACGGTTACAAATAAAAAGTGAAATTATTGAAGGAAGAGTGACTGAATGAATGTGACTACAAGGAAATTTTTTTAATTATGCAAGGAAAAAAATTTTTTAAAATAATTTTGGAACTTTTTTAAAATTTTCTATTTTTGTTTAGCAAAATTTTAAATATTTCTTACTTCCTGAATTTACTTCAGATACTTTAAACAATAATATTAAATAAATTAATATAATAAATTTTAGCATTGTAATGCGGTAAATGTCCAGCTCGTGTCCCGCATGTCCGCAAAAGGCATTCTGCAAAAATGATTTTTTCTGCCTTCCTTCTCTCTACCATAATTCTCCTCGCGTAGTCAAATGATGGGTTGACAGTTTGGCGCAGATAATAAAGGAAGTAAGAGAAATTATTTTTATTAATATTCAAGCTTTATTACAGTCTCTAAATTTAAGATTGATAATAAAAAAACGATGTATATTCTCAAGTTATAAAAATTAAAAAATTTTTTATAAAATTTTTTAAAATGGCAGAAGCTTACAAAAAGCTTCCAAGGAAAATTAGATAATTTTTTTCGTAATTTTCACCACTGGAAATCAGAAAATCGTTTAAATTAAATTATTAAATAAAGCGACTACTTTCTGTTGAGACAGGCTCTTTTTAATTAATTATTTGTAGTAATAAAAGAAGCTAACTTTTTCAGATTAAATTTAAATTTTCAATCTTAAATTTAGAGACTGTAATAAAGCTTGAATATTAATAAAAATAATTTCTCTTACTTCCTTTATTATCTGCGCCAAACTGTCAACCCATCATTTGACTACGCGAGGAGAATTATGGTAGAGAGAAGGAAGGCAGAAAAAATCATTTTTGCAGAATGCCTTTTGCGGACATGCGGGACACGAGCTGGACATTTACCTTGTAATGCTAATAAATGAAATTGAATAGTTGAGTTTAAATACCGTTTAATGAAAAATGAATCTAATTTGTAAGGGCAAATAAATATAAAATAATAGACAGCTTTGCTTTATGCGAATGAAAATTTTTTTTATAAAAATTGCCGTAATTGTGAAATAGTGTCTCCTCCCTTCACCTTTTGTAAATTATTTTTAATTGACTTATGATTTGGCGGGAAGACAAAAATAAAAATAAAGTACATTAAAAGGGCATCAAAATTTTCCATTTTTATTTTGCCGTCTTTTTTACTTTAATGCCGTTTAATTTTATAAATTTTAAAGTAGTTTGTAAAATATTACAAACTACAAATTTATTTTCAGAAAACCAACATTTTTGGCCATAATTTCTAAAATTATTGCTAGAAAATTCTGAAATTTTTGGAGAACATAGATAAAGGTACGAGAGTTATTATTGCAAAATTTGATCATTTTTGATAACAAATTCGCTATCTTATAAGCCCGCGCCAAAACGGCCCCGCGCCAAAACGGCCCCGCGCCAAAACGGCCCGTGTCGGGAAAATCAAGTCGGAAGAATTTCCCGAGTCTGGAGTAGGGATCAGGATACCCTAGTAGGGATCAGGTTACCACTAGTATTTTAAATATTTGTAAGGAAATGTAAGCACGTCAGTAGAAAATGTCTAACTTGAAATTGAGATTATTCGATTATTATCGGCCATTGAATCGAATTTGAAATCTACAAACAATTCAAACATTTAAGAAAAGATAATTAGAAAATAAGATATATTGTGTTGTAATATTGTGTTAGGTTTCCAAACCCCAGGGTGATTGCCTACGGGACAACCGTCCAACATCCTCGTTAAACTGCCTTTCTCGGCTCGGTTTGTGTTTTAACAATTTTGGAAATTTTCTATTCTGATTAGCAAATTTAAAATATTTCTTACTTCCTGCATTTACGACAGATATTTTGAATAATAATAATATTAAATAAATTAATATAAAGAATTTTAGCATTGAAAAATATTAATAAAGTAAATCTAAAAATAAAAAAAATAAATATAAATGAGAGTTTATATGAGAGTTTATATATCATTATAAAATATAATCAATGGCCAAATATGAATATAAAATTAAAATAAAATAATTTTTGCAAATGCAAAAAAAATTTTTTTAATAGCTATTCTCCCCCCCCCCCCACTCTCCTTTAATGGCAGCTCCTCTCTAGAGCTCGTTTGAAACTGATCTACTCATCTCTCCATCCTTAATGGCGTCTCTTTTCTCCCTCCTTTCATAGCGACTCCTCTTAAGACTCTTTTCTTGACGTCTCGTCTCTCCCTTTTCTCTTGGGGTCTCATCGCTCTTTTTCTTGCGTCTCCTCTCTCGATCCCTTCTTTCGACTACAAAATATTGCGTTTTAAAAGACTCATGAAAAGACTCATGATTGTAAAAACGGTGTAACCCCGGACTGAGTTCGGTAAATATTATCAAATTTCGCAAAAAAATATTAGATTAAATGAAAACATGATGACTAGGGTGCGGCAAGATATGCATGAAAAATCCAAAAACATGCGCATATATGCATCGAAAACCCCAAAATATGCAATGAAATATGAAAAATTTAGTGACATATGCACTCAAAATTGACTAAATTCATATCTGTGCCATCTGTGCATATTTTGGGAAATTCTGTGCATATTTTGATAAATTTTGCATATTTTTACCAAAATTTGGCATATTCTGGCATTTTTTTTGACAAATCCTTAGTTTAAGTTATTTTTTGGCAAAATTTAAAATTTTTTGAAAATTTTTTTTCGAAAAAATTTTTCAAAAAATTTTATATTTTGCCAAAAAATAACATTTAAACTAAGGATTTATCAAAAAAAATGCCAGAATATGCCAAATTTTGGTAAAAATATTAAAATTTCCCAAAATATGCACAGATATGGAAATATGCACGGAAGTACTGAAATATGCAAAAATATGTAATAAGAACCGTGTCCTAAAGTGCTCGGACCGATGTAAAAACACCATTTTTGAGCGTTTCAGCTTATAGCATATCCGCATGCAAAATATGCATTTACATGTTTTGCCGCACCCTAATGATGACATTAAAAGATTTAAAATTATTCTATACTAAGAAAAAAATTATGCTATCTTTTCAAAATTGAGAGGTTTTGGTCACCCAAGGGTGATTTCTCAAACCCTTCCAACAGCGTTAAACTGCCTTTCTTGGCTTGGTTTGTGATAATTAAAAAAATTTTTTTTAATAATTTTGGAAGTTTCTATTTTTGTTTAGCAAAATTTAAAATATTTCTTACTTCCTGAATTTACTTCAGATATTTTAAACAATAATAATAAATAAATTAATATAAAAAAGTTTAGCATTGAAAAGCGCTTCATAATAAAATAAATTAAAATTTCAAAATAAAAAAAATAAATATAAATATGTATATATGAGAGCTTATCCCCGCTTCATTATAAAATTAAATCAATGGACAAATATGTATAGAATATTATAATAAGTAAATTTTTGTAAATGCTAAAATTATTTTTTAAAAAAGCTAAAGGAGTCTATTTTCCTCTAATCCTCCTTTAATGGCAGCTCTCTCTAGATCTCTTTCAAAACAGCTCTACTCCTCTCTCCATCCACAATGTCGAGTTTATATAAAATCGTCCTGCGTTTTGCGTCAAAAAGATCATTTAAAAGGAGGAGAGACATAATTGCGTTTTTCATTTCAAATGCTATTTTTTGCCGCTAACGCTCTTCTCTCCACCCTACATGGCTCTCTCTCTTTACATTCCTCTCAAGGCGTCTCATCTCTCCCTTCCCTCATGGCTTATTCGTGTCGTTTCCTCTCTCCATCCCTTCCTTCGCCTGCAAAATATTACTTTTTAGTGGCTCATGATTTGGCGGAATTAACAAAGGGTAAAAATATAATCCATTAACTTAAAAGGGCATAAATAAAAGGGCACCTAAAATAAAACTTTGAAACTATCCATTTTTATTAATAAGCTTATTTGAGGACTATAAATTAGTTTTATGTCTAATAATTTACTTAATAAGATTTAATTAATTAATATAAGTTTAAATTTCGATGGAACTTTTACTAAATTAGTTTTGAAAAATCGCGGCACGTATTTTTTGGATGTCGCATTTAAGCTGACAAAACATCTATTGTATTAAATTAAGTAAGAATTCTAGATGTCATTTGTTTTCTTGAAATTTTTTCGAAATTACTTTATTTTTTGCCAATTCATTTCATGACATGTTGGAAATAATTTTTTGGGAAGTGGAAGTATAGTTATGTGGAGGTGTTTTCCAAAAAATATTTAGAACTCTAGTAATTTTAAGCCGAAATTAAATATTAATTTTTTATTAGTCTTTTAGTTGCCTGGGTCAACATTTAAACGATAATCTGAAAAAATTTTGGGGTCGTACAGGAAAAAACACAAAAATAGGGGTGGAAGTATAGTTATGTGGAGCACTGTAGTACTATAGTTTTACATTTATGTTACACCGGAGGTTTGCCGGTTGTGTCCGAGAATTGTTCGATGTTGACGTGCACAAGGATAACAGTTTATCCGACGTTGAAATGAAAAATGAAGGCTAAGGGATTGGAGAGCTGGAACAGACGTCGGAGATCAGTAACTAGCCCCGTTAGTCCAACTAGACTGACGCTTTCACTGGCTTTTATACTATAGTGGCCTACAAAACAAATTATAAACTAATATTATTCAATTTTAATATTATCTACGTATATGCAACAAATATCTATTCAGTTAAGAATTAATTTTAGTACAACAACATAACAATTTTTATTTATGAACCGCTAGCAACATTTCAATAATTCTAATTCAAAAAATCAACAGCCTGTGATGCCTAAAATTTGAACGGGATTTATTAATAAATTAACACAAAGACTTACCATTCCTTTGATTTTTCATATAATCGCGAAGCAATTTTCCAGAGGGACTGAGGCATCTTTCTTGGTTTGCTTGATCAGGGGTACAATGAGGCAGCACCAAGGAGTAGACTTCATTTTTGTTGGATAATGACCATTTGCAGTAGGAAAGTTTGTTTTGATCCATAAAGGCCCAACTGAAAGGCAGAAGCGTGTAAAAGTTGGAAATCATAACCTTAGATATTCTAGAGCGAAAGTCCTCTTATCCTTTCCAGGGATGGGCTGGGTTACTCATGACCCGAAACCCGATCATAATAAAATTTTGGAGAACCGACTTTTCTCTGTTATGTTCAGGCTGTGGAAAATTAATTGAATGGAAGATGGAATTGAATGGACTAAGTCCAGATCGTAGCACTATAGACTGTTATTTTTATACTATTATACTCCTTCTTGTCACAACACCTAGTCTGAACTCAAACGATGTTCGGCAAAGGACTGGATCAGGAGGAAAACAAGATGAAATGTCCTTTCCGCAATTTAATAGCGGAAGGCGGAAAATAAAAAGATTGAAGCGGAATTTCTCCTATCTTGATTCCCAACACTAATACAAATTAATTACAAAGATTTCATTTCATTTGGTTTAAGCGGAGCAGGAAGATTAACATCAGCATCGCCATATTCACTAATAAAAGTTCCAATTCCTTTTGATTTGGCTTTTAAAATCCTTTTCTTTTGATTCTCAATATGCTCGTTATTTGGGACAACATAATAATGTAGAGCATACCTAAATAATGAACTTTCTTGGTAAAAATTTTTGGAAAGTTCGATAGAGGCTAATCATTTACGGTATTTTTACTCCGTAAATAAATTTATTTTGTTAACCTTAAATTGCAAAGCTCATGAAAATTTTATAACATTTCCAACACTAAAAAATTTATTTTTGAATGTTAGTGTGATTAACTAACAAAACTGATTTCGATTTTATGAATAATAAATCTCCGTTTAAGATTATTTACAACTTACAATAAATTTTTTCCAGAAACGGGACTGTTAATGACATCATCACCTGGACCAGCTGATTGCCAAGGAGTACCGAGTATTACAACAACATTCGGGTCAAGTTTTCGAACACGCTATATAATTAATTTAAAGTTTAGAAAGTCGTAATTCCTTTTTAGGTAATCCCTTGTGGGTATATCAAACTAGCTTGAATGATATAATTTGCCTAAAGCTTTAGCATGGCATCCAAAAAATTACAGTCTGGTTTCTGATTTCCCGAGTATGCGTATGTAAAGTCTTCATTTAAGCTTAAGAAAGGTTATAAATAAAAACGTTGATTATGAGCAGAATACGCGGAAAAATCATTACAGAAAAAAATAAATTCATGCTAATCTGCAAAATACATCGGATCTCATTACACCCCTGTGGCTGAAAAAGTAAAATGCAAACTATCAGACAGAGGTTGTTATCTAGATTAAGAAGCCTGACGTTTGGATGACTAACATATCTAAGCACTCAACTTAAAATTTTTGTCTGCTTAAAGCGACATGCAAAAATACGCAACACCACCAAAGTAAATATCTTAGGAAAAAGAAATTATCCATGCTATTTAAGCTGATATTAAATTAATTACATTATATGTAATAGATCCCTAAAGAGATACGATAGTAGTTTTTTAATTAACCTTTTAAAATTGTGCCCATCCTGTGTACTTAAACTCTACTTCATAGGTCAAAAATTTGGCTCCTACGGGGTATTTTAGGCTAATTTACTCTTGCTCAGATATAATCTCTTAAATGCCAAAAACCTGGCCACGAGGGTTGATACAATAGAGATGTTTACCCGTGTAATACCCAATCAATTTTAGAAATCTTACTTTAAACTTAAATGACCTACTATTTCTAGTGGTTTATAAAAACTATATTTGAACGGTATCATTTTGCTAATGTCTAGCATGGCATCCAAAAAATGAAAAATCAAAATAAACGACTTCTGCTCTATGTGTAATCCTCTTTAAGCTTAAGAAAAATGAAGAATAAAAACGTTGATTATGAGCATGTGTTTCATATCGTTTTACTACGCAAGCATGGTTGGATCTCGTTATAAGAAACATGGATTAAAAGGTTTGACAGTAATAGATTCTCTGAAAATCTAGATTAGTTTATAACGATATCATTTGCCTAATGCTCTAGCATGGCATCCAAAAAATTATATTCCAACATGTGGAGGAACCCAATAAGTGTAATCTTGATTAACTTAAGTAAAGTGAATAATAAAAACGTTGATTATGAGCAATATGTCCCATATAGTTTTTACAACGTAAGCATAGACTGATCTCGTTATAAGAGACATAGCTGAAAACTATATGGAAGATCTCCAGGCAGCTCACTCAACCAATACCCAACCAAATTTTTACAACAATGTTTGATATGTAGTTAAGCCTTAAAAACTTACGGCTAGCACAGCATTGTAATACTCCTTTAATTTATTCCAAGGACATATCGGCTCATTCCACAGTTCCAAAATCAAGTTTGGAGACCCTTTGTATTTATTCAATATTGTCGTGAAAAAAATGATAGCGCTGTTAGTGAACTTTTTAAATTCTGCATCGTTTGTACATTTTTGGTTAGCAACATCGTGCCAGTCAATTATGAAATAAATTCCGTTCTTAAATTATTTTTAAATTTTGTATCTAAAAGTTACCGCGATGGCGGCATCTGCAACAGTCATGGCTGCCTTAATCGCAGCCTGTGGGTTCTCCAAATAGCCAGAACAACAAGTTCCAATTGCTGCTCGAACCTGAGAGAAAAATTTTTATTTTGAGCATGAAGTATTGGAGCTGCCCCTTTTGTCATGAACAGCTCTATGAATCAGCAACATAGGCAGGGAGTGTAACTTTTCGGAAATAAATTCCGTTCTTAAAATCATTTTTAAATTTTAATTTTAGTAGTTTACGCACTTTTATACGAGCCTAGATACTCTCGGACCTTGTTTGAGAAGATAGATTAGAGACCGGAGCGAGTCAGGAAGTCGATCGAATATCTCGGTTATCGAGATCGAACAAAAAATTCTTTCGAGATCTTAATTCTCGTACGATACTCCCAGTACGGTCTCTAATTTAGATACATTTAGGCTTAGTTAATTGCTGTCCAATATCACTCATTTGCCTAATGCTTTGGCATGGCATCCAAAAATACTCTGTTCGACCCAACATACGACACTTGTTACGAGTCTAGTTGTTACTGTTTAGCTTTAGAAAAATGACAAATAAAAATGTTGATTATGAGCACAATATTTTATGTTCCAGACGATTGATAAGGAAATATTTCTAGCGAGCCCTTCTCTAGGACAGAAATTTAGTTTTGTTTTAAAGCCGAAATCGTTATAAATTTTATAAATGTCGTATACTATTTTCTAGAGACTCTTGGTCTTGGGGTGATTGTCTTTGTCTTGTTTTGGCTTTATTTTTTGGTCTTGGATTTTTTGGTCTGAAAATTGTAAGAAATCTATCTTCTTGAGACCCAAAATTCTCAAAATATTGTATTATTTTTGGTCTTGAGTCTTGGAGTTTTGGTATTGGTCAAGAGTCTTGGTCTTGGAAAAAATTTTTTTCTAAGTTTTATAATTGACGTATTAGTATTCTCTAAAGTTCAACAAAATTTCGTGAATAGGTTATCGGATCCGATTCGAAAAATCGTTCGGCTTTCATGTATTATATTTTGGATAACTCTTGACATCGCCGATTCCGAGGCCTAAAATATAATCAGAGAAACTTACAACATTTCCATTAAAGAAACATTTAATAGCCTTAACAGCTTGAGGAGAATACCATTGAGTTAACCACTGACTGAACCAAAGAGAAATTCCTCTCAACTGAACCGGTCGACCATTTGCCCCAACTAATTGGCCTTTATTTACTGACAGTCTTCCAAATGGAGGGTTTACAGCTAAAATGGTTAACGCAAACATGGAGATGATAAATAACAAAATTAATTGAAATTTATTAATTAACATTTTTGGGTAATTATGTAATGGGATATTTTCAAAAAGAGCTTAATGAGTTCAGTACTGACTCCTATTTATATCAGAATTTAAGGAGCCTTTTCAAATGTTTGTCCAAACTAGCCCTTTGTTTTACACTCTCTAAAGTGCATTTCGAATAAATTAATTTAAAAAATGCAATAATTTATATTAAGTGCAACTTAAAAAAGTTTATATAAACTTTATAATTTAAACCTGTTCAAATATAAATCTAGACAATTTGTTAATATTATAGAGAAGAATTTAATTAAAATTTAGTTTAGGAATTTTTATTAGAGTGTAAAATTTTAAGTTGTAGTACAGATATCAGGAGGATTTTTGTAAGACTTTGACTTGTCCGACCGTGTTTGTCGTTCATCGTCTTAAGTTTTTTGAGTTAGCATATTAGCCTAACACGACAACCACGTAAACGTTTAACGGCAACATCACTCAAACACAGTAACCTCTTGAAAATAGCAGCTGGATTCTCGCTATGCAACTAAAGTAAAATAACAAGCCTGAGCTTCAGATATCCAAGAATTTGACACATCTCCGTATATGCTTATTAGCCATATTAATTTAAGTATTAATTACTCTCTCCAGCAAAAGGTTGAAAAAATAATTCCCCTGGGTAATTATTTTAGCAAACATTGTATTTTATTTGAGTTAATCTGTTCGTTGTTTTAACTTTTCTCTTTAATTTTTTACACGACAACAGATAATTCAAACACACTAAAATGGCCAAACATTCAAATTATATAAACAAATCAATTCATAATTTTTAAATAAAATCAAAGTCGTCGCGAGAGTCCCCCCATGCTTGCCTTCACAAGTCAATTCACATTGCCAGTCAAATGATTTTTCCAATAAATCGAAGACACATGGAGGACAACATGGAGGATTCATGAGGGAAGAATTGAGCGTGTGACGGCACGCTCGCGGGGAAAAGGCAAAGACAATGAAAATAATAGAGAGTGATTCCCTCTCTTAAAATTTAAATGCCATCCCTCCTATTGCCCTCCCTCCCTCCCCCCCCCCCCCCTCCCTCCTTCCCTTATCCCTTCCCTTCTTATTGCCCTCCTCCCTCCCTCCCTTTTCCCTTCCCTTCTTATTGCCCTCCTCCCTCCCTCCCTTTTCCCTTCCCTTCTTATTGCCCCCTCTTAATTGCCTTCCTTGGCCAATTTCTTATAGGCAGCTAACAGGCATTATTTAAATTTATTTGACATCTTTTTTTTTAATTTTTTAAATTTTATAAGTCAACAGATTCCAACATATAAATTGGCCAAACAACAGGTTTTCGGTTCGGCCACTGAAATAAAATAAAAAGAAGATTCATATCGGGACCTATATTCTTGAGGGAACCTATATATTTATTCGTCGGCTAATAAGCCTATGCTTCTGCGAACAAAACAGAAAGATCGTCTCCCACCGACTCAGTCGGTGCACTTAAGTTGCTCTGCGCAACAGTCACGGAATAAAATGGACATAACAATTCACACAAACATCAAGCCAGACAAATGAGGATGCTCGTTCCCTCATCTGCCTTGTTAGATAAACATTTTATTTCCAGTAGGGAGCCCAATCCTTTCAGTCCTAGGCAAAAAAGAATTTTAGTAAATAGTATTTTCCCTAATTTTTCTCCTTTCTAATATTCCTTGATTAATTTTTAGCAATGTTGCTTAAACAAAGCTTGTTAATCAAGCGTTTATTTAAAATTATTTTTGTTCTTTTTTTGCTCCCTCAAACTTCCCAAGGTATTCAACGGGATGTAAAGGAGGAAAAAGAATCGTTGATCAAACAAATTAATTCAATCGTGAACCTTGTGGAGAAAGAAGTTGAAGGCTTTAAAGGCCTCACTTGGAATTCGTTTCCTGAACAAATTCAAAATCTTGTATTTATGAAGGTAGTGGAAAATGAAAAATGTTATATAACAGATTTGAATGGGAAGAAGTTGGCGGGCATTGGTGGTATTGTTAATTACGTTCAGACAACATCTAACAATCCAATAAGCGAAAATACAGAGGTACTTATTTTAGAATTCTTTAAATAACCCGAGTTACCCTATTCCCATCTCGCCACCTCCTATTTGGGTCTCAGATTAATTCTCCTTTTAATATTTCTGCCTCGTAATGGTTAAATTTTGTTTTTATAAATTTTGATTTTTGCATAACCGTTTGATTATCCGTCTCTATTATCCTCAGGGATGGGTTCTTACTTTCTAAGAGCCCCGATTTTGAGATCTTGCCTTAAATAAATAAAAGATAAGTGCAAAAATGTTCCAGGGCATTCCAGATTGAGGACTGCTTCGATCGACCTTCGATAAATAAAAAAATTACAAAAAAGTCCGCAGGACTGTTCAAGCTCATGACCGCTTCATTAATTAGCTGCTCAACCCAAACAGCGATTCAACCTAATTCCAAGGGAACCTCTTACTCCCGCCTACCTCACTTTCACTAAATTTGTTCCTAATTTAGAAAACTCGAGAGAATTTAGAAACTTTGATCAAAACTTTTACAATTTTGGATAACTTAAAATTTTCAAATAGTAAGAAAGCTGAAGTAAAAAATATGACTATAGACATTGTTAACAATTTAATTAAATCTCGCAATGAAATCAACGTGAAAATAAAACAAATAAAAATCCAATTTTTGACTGGTCTAAGCGCTAAAAAATTTGAAGAATTGAAAGATGAAATTGAGAAACTTATGAAAGAAAATATACACAATCATAAGATTTTGGATATTAAAACCAAAAGTTTTATCAGTCACCTTAAGAAGGAATTTGAACAGAAAAAGATTGTCAAAAATTTGGAGGAAAAATTGAAAAATGATGTATGTCCTTAGATTTATCTAATTTTACCGATAGGTTATATGTTATAAATCAGAGCTGTGCGCCATGACGGTTAACGTTCATTTATGGCCGATATTGTCGGTGTGGCGTCTGGCGTGTTTTTAGAATTTGAAAAATTGGCGTTTGGCGCGCCACACATAAATTGCCCTCACACAAAAACTGCCCTCTCGAGAATTTAAGAATTTTACATAAATCTTTGTCTTGGCAAAAAGAAAACTGACCATTATCAGTAAACTGACTATTATGCATATACTTAGGAAAAAATAAAAGTAAAAAAGTGGAGGGGAGAGGGGGGGGGGGGGGTGGGGGGGGGCCTACCTCTTCCCTCTTTTAGGTCACAAATTTACTAGGTTAAATAAATCAAAGTTTTAATTTATTTAAATTTTAATATATTTAGCAAGGTAATTTTGAAGAAAATGTCAATAAATTTTATTCTGAAAAGTATAGAATGCTCCAAAAATTTATTGAAATATTGGACAAAATGAAGCATCTTTTGCTTATAATTTCTCAGGCTAAATACGATTTTATTGTTAATTTACCTGAAAATATTATTAAAAGCATTGCAGAATTATATGTTTTACGCAATGAAAAAGTCCCTAAGTATTTGAAAAAAATTGGGATCGTGGAAATAGGCAAAGACAACACGACTTTAGTTAAGGGTTTGTCTTTACAAAATTTTTTAAAGTGACTTTTATGTAGTGTGGTCAGTCAGATATGATTTTTTGACAGTCGGATATGTTGACAGTCAGATAAGTGCCCTACGCTATGACTATAAAGCAGATACACTCTGTCAAAATTTTAGAACCCTCTAAAATTTAGTTATTTTTAAAAAAATTCCAAAAAATTTTTCTTGACATACATATCTATCGATATTAATAGAAAATACGAAAGAACACAAGTTCTAATATACCGTAAATACTCTAATATAAGCTATCTTTAGAAGAAGCCTATATCCTATATAGTTCCATACGAGGAGACACATTGTAAATACAAGCCTAGGGCCTAAATTAGCATATTTACTGTAATTCCTTCATCGAGATATTAAAATCCGAAAACAGTTTATCACACGTATAAATACAAAAGGTAGACAAAGGTTGTAGAGAAGGATGAACTTTCTCAATCCAGAAGGAGCGAGTAAGTGTTAATTGAAGATTAAGCATTAAATAAATGTGATAATCACAATAACATATAAATAACATTTATTTATAGAAGCAAAACGACTGGAAGACGAGGTTAATCACTTTCGTTATGATCAATCCAAATTTAACAAAAACTATAAAAAAGGAGAAACAGGATACTGTGTAACTGTCGTACAGTCTGAGGAATTTATTCGAGCAGAAAATAACTTTAATTTAGCGACTGCAAAGGTAATGGAGTTAAAATATTAACTTTGATATATTTTCCTATGTACTTAAAAATTGGACTTTATGGTGATTGAAATAGCTGGTTTATTTTAAAACCTATAAGGAAGAGCTTGAAACACATATTCTAATGATACACCAAAGTATCCGACTGCATTGGGCAAAGTTATGGACTTTTGTTTAACTCTTACATATTTGTCCTTGATAACAATTCGAGCAATATGCGGGCTTTGCCCTCTATGAGACCTGCCTCAGCGAAACATGGCTATTGTGTTTCGAAGACCACGTCTCATCTGCACTCTTTAGCCGCAATAAGATTTGCTTCCTAAATTTGTGTGCTTCAAAGCTGCTTATTAAGTTTTATAGACTTCTTCGTTAAAAGGGCTTTATCGAATGCTATAAAAGGGCAGCTTATTCTACCGTTATAAAGTACAAATTTTACGTTCTCTCAACAGTTTATTTAAATCTTAAGGCAAATCTGGCTCCAATCGTATATGATATGTTCCGTGCATATGGCATATTGGAAATGCATTACAAGTTTACGGAATTTTTGAACAATTTAATGGATAATGATTATCATATCATGCTAAACAATGTTCGTGAAGAGATGAAAGATTTTTAAATGATTGTGACTTGAGACGATGTACATACATATCAGAGTGAAAAGGAAAAAAAGCTCTATTATTTTTAAAGAGTCCAATCAAGATCTATGCTTTTAAGTGGGCATGCTTTTAAATGGACATACCAAGGTCTGGCCGACAGAAATGAATTCCCAATTTCAGTTATTTGAACTCTCAATCAAAAAGATCTCGATTTTTGTGATTAAGTTCTGTTAGACCCTAGTATATACTAGAATTGAGCAACGTAGGCTGGAAGAATTAGAACTAGTCTAGTTAGTTTCTTTATAGTATACTATAAAAATTCATAAACCTTGATCGGACTCATAAAGTGTAAAAGAGTTAAAAGTTGAAAATTTATTTGTTAAACAAATATCAATTTTATTCAAATTTACATCCCTTATTTATGCATTATTTTTTAAACATACATATTTCCTTATTTATACCTCTGTATATGTATACCCATTAAATTCATGTAAATATTCTTGATGATTATATTTATCTTGTTTTTTTAAACTCCATATAAAACTTTGTCTAACAAGATTGAACTAATCGTTTGTAACAAGATTGAACAGATCGTTTTCATTTTGTCAGAAAAGTTTAATGTACTGTTATCTTTATTTAATCGAATTTTGCCTTTTTTAATCTAATTTAGTTTATACTATACAGAACCAGCTCAAAATTCTAATTACATGCTTTCCGATTGCCTTGACCTGAAGATAATGATTCACCACCATAGCCCGTCCAGAATCTTTTCAACAGCCGTCATGTCTTCTTTAGCATTGTTATGTTGGAGAATTATTGTCGAACATCAATTTAAACAATGCTGAGAAAGCTCTCCAAAATCATCATATCCTGTTGTTGTCTGACTGTTACTTTGCTCGTTACCAAAATTATAGACAGAGAGATAAAGGTGTTTTTGTTGACTTTTACAATACTAAATTCCCAGGCTTTCCATTTACTGAATTAAAGAAATTGTGTCGGAGTGATCTTGTTATCCTACCATTTTTGTGAATATGATGACCAGAATTCGTATGAAATCATTTTCAAAAAATCACAGAAAGGCACAGAAAACTCCCCCTTGTTTATTTTTATTAAACTCCTTCGCACTAGCTTCTATTCTACATATCAGACATTAAATTTAATTAATTAAAAATTGCTGTGAATATATGAAATTTTATACAATTTTGGATGAAAATTTACATAATTTTAAATTTGTATATAAATGAATTTACATGAAATTTTACATGAATTTTACGATTTAGAAGGTTTAAATATATACAATGTGTGAATTTAGTTACTTTTTTGTTTAATGCAGAAATTGTAATTGATGTAAGGCAAGGTTCGTATTTGTTCTTTAAATTGAAAAACGACACTCATAAATTTGAAATTAAAATTGTTTGACATTTAACTTCATTTTTAGCCAATACGAACCTTGTTGTAAACGGTATGAAAAAAGATATGCAAAAATTGAGAGAACTTCAACTTTGAAAGTTCAAAACAGTTCTGGCTTCAGTGTTAGAGTTTATACGAGAATGGACGAGTTTTTCTCATTTAAATAACGTTCCCAGATACTAATATTAAGTACACCTTTAATACTAATACTACTAATACTTCCATTACTCTCACATGTAATATAGACATTTGTTTTTGTTCCAACCAACCCTTTTGACTACTCCTTGATTTTTAGTCCTGTCCTTGTGGCTTTTGAAACCTTATCTAATTAATATTCAAAGTTACTATAGTCCCGAGCTCGTACAAACTCTAGTTATAGTTCAATTTGTGTGACCACTTTTTCCACATTTTTTCATCTCCTTAGAAAAAGTTTTTGTTTTTTTCCTAGTGCTTTGCCTCAAATAATGCTTCATTAAGAAGTGTTTTTCACTTTTGTACAGTACCACACTGTACAAAACTTTTTTTCCAAGGAGATGAAAAACTGAGAAAAAAAAGTCACAAACCGAACTATCACCACCTTTTAACCGAACATCGCTTAATAAAATTTCTGAAACCAATCGAGCATAAAGGAATCAAATTTTTCTTCCACAAATTGAGGCAATTTCTTGACCAAATTTGCAAAATAGTTAATCTCCTTGATCACTTCACGTTGTTCCTCTTTATCCAAATTTTTAGGATACTGTTTTTTCTCGTGCTTTTCATAAGCCAAACCATAATGTTCATATAATTTTTCATAAGCAAGCAGAACGTTTGGCAAATAGTTTATCGTATTCTTTTTCAGATTATTCAATTTTTCTGTTAGGGGTTTGAGTGATTCCTTAAATAAAATTGAGAAATGAGAACAGTTAGAAAAAATTCCATTGGAGACACAGTTAGTGGAGTTTATTATAAAAACCAGACAATAGTATGTAATGATGATTGACTTGCGCATTTAAACGCTTAGGCGAGGGTTAAACGATCTAAAAGTAAAAGAGAAAGCAGTCGATTCCCCGGTAGCTCAGTGTTAGAGCTCCTGAAGTGAGTGAAAGCGCCTAGCAATAACTATAAGGAGGTTGCAGGTTCGAATCTAGCCCGGTGGCTAAATCTTTGCCCGGTAGATAATTTTTTGTTAAATTTTACAACAACAATTCCTCACAAGTAAAGCCGTTCCAATAAAATACTTCATAATGGGACCATCAACCAATATAATTTATATTAAAAAACCTTGGTTGGATAAGAAGTCGATGTCGATCCGGAGGTATGAGGATGACTTGAAGTCAAAGTTAGTGAAGATTCTCCAAAGTCTGAGGAACTCCCAGAATCCGATGATTGAGCATCCGTGGATGTTGAAAATATAGTAGTCGACCATGAATTACTTTCCTCTTCCATATTCTCCTCCGTTAGATTTGCCTTTAACTCACACTCATTTATCTCTAAAATTGCCAAATATTTAGAAATAATTACTTTGCGCAAAAATATAATTTCTTTGAATTTTTTCATATTTGCTCCATTCTTGAATAAAGCTGCTGGATTTGGCTCTTTTTGATTTGCAATAAAATTAACATTTTCATAAAGCTCCTTTATTTTTTCATTGAAGCCTTTGTATAAGTCGATTTTGGTGTACAAAACGACCAATTTTTTATAAAAATCCTTTGGCTAAAATAGAGTTAAATTTAAAATTTATAAAACTCTAGCGATTGTACCAGACATGGTTAATAAATAACCCTTATTTCGGCCTAATGAAGATGCTTGTTAGATCCCAGCTGTCAAACAATTTTTTGCACTAGCTGAAGAAGAAATAGCTATAGCCCAGCTTTGCTTTACTGGTAGCACGGATGGTTTAACGAATGCTGAATGCATGAAGATGCATCCCATGGGCCATGGGTAAAGAAAATGAATTCTACCAGAGAAGTCGAAGATTTAATTTACCCCGCCAGTGAGTGAAAAAGCGGGAAGAGGGCATAGATATGCTAGGGAGTCTTTCTTGGGGATGGAGGTGTAGGCATTAATAGATAACGCATCAGTCAGGTTTACTGAAGATGCTGGTTCGCTACATGCAGCCAAATTTATTTCAGGCCGTAATAATTAAAGCTTAAAGCAGAATAACAATTTTGGTCTAACTTAGGACCAAAAATATGTTCCGCCGTTGCAAAAACAAAAAAAGGCTAACCCCAACGTTTTTAATATTGTTCAAAATATTATCAACTTTAGCATTCATCCTCTCATAAATGCCATAATATAATTTCCAAGCTTCTAAGTCGTTAACTGTCATTGTCTTAAATTTGTTAAATTCTGCCAACTCCTCCGTTAGTGTATTTTTCTTATTGCTACGAATGAGCCACGAATTTTTAGCCTTTTCTTTAGCTTCAATTTTTTTACGTTTATCATCTAAAACATCATTTAATGTCTCAATTTCTTTAGTCGTTTTTGCTAAATCAACTCGCATTAACTTTACGCTTTGCGGATACAACAAATTTTGTTGTTCTTCTGTCAAGTGATCAAGTTTATTTAATAATTTGCAGTATTTCTTAATATTAGTAGTTTCTTGCTCTATAAATTTTTGTTTTTCATTATTCATAATCTTCCAAAGTTCACTTCTAGAATTTAAAAAGAATTGTTGAAGTAAGCAAGAGCACGAAAATAATATTTTTATCTCAAGAAGAGAGAAAAAGTATCTCCTCTAAAAGAAAAAAAGTATCTGCATCAATCCTCACATTAGGTGGAGCAAGTTCTTTCAGCATTTCTAGCTTTGAATTCAACCTTTATCCGGTCGGAAATATACTGAGATTGCGAAAAACCCCGGATTTAGAAGCGGACTACGAAAAAATACCCGGGGCCAATAACTAGTTACAAGCTATTTTGAGTTGTAAAACCCCAGAATCAGTTGAAAATGTGACAAGGATTCCCCGTAAACATGGGTATTCAAAAAATAAGAACGAATTTGAGCTCCTCAAAAAACGATTCCTGACAATGCGTCAGTGGAAGATGCGTCAGTGGACAATCGGTCAGTATTGATAAAAAGTGATTAAAAGTGATGATGTAAAGAGATAAAAAATGATATAAAAGGACTAAAGATGGGATATACAAAGATTAGGTGTATTTAAAAAGGGATTTTGGGGTTTAAAAGAGATATAGAGGGATTTGTTGGGATTAAGGCCGATATCTCGTGTTTGGGAGGATTAACAGAGATATCAAGTTATTTGATTGGATTAAGATGGAGATTTGCCGATTTGAAGGGATATCAAGGAATTTTTATATCTTTATATCATAACTTTTAATCACTTTATATCAATACTGACCGATTGTCCACTGACGCATTGTCCGGGAGCCTCAAAAAGGTACACCTCCTTTGAGATTAGATATGATGAAAATCCCCTCTCTAATAACTTTTTGCCTCACCTTTCAAACAACTTTTTGCAATAATTTTGCATTGTATTAGATGAGCTTATAATTCCACCAATATCTTTTCCAACTTTTTTGAATATTTGAGCTGGTTGGCCAATCAAAAACTGTATTTGAATATTATCAGAAATCACGTTTATTCTCTCTCGGTATTCAAAAAAATGTTTTATCTTGTTGTTGTACTTGTTCACAACATTAAAATCATCTCTAGTAAACCTTAAATAAAATTAAATTTCATACTATGTGTTTATATCCCTTTCAATATTTGATCGGCTGTAACTTTTTAATCTTGATCCCATTCGAATGAATTTTAGATTATTTAAAAGCCCTCAATGAGCGCTATCTTTTTCCTACTGGATGGATAGTCTGATCGTCCATTAAAAGGTCAGAAGTCGATAAGTGCAAGAAAACGTTTATTTAATCGTCCCACCACGGACTGATCTTTAAAATTTTTCTTAATTTGTGAGACTGTGACAAATTCGGCCTTGCATCCGGTAAGAGAGTTAAGCACATCCGAGTAATGAGGCAATAAATCCGAGTAATGAGGCCCTCAATTTTTCTTAAGAGCCTTTCTGGTTGATTAAATTACACTAAAGTTATCATAGAAATAATTATACTGCACAAACTAACATCATTTTGTCAAGGACGCCAAATGCCATTGTCAAACTAGTAAAGTCCGCACTTTGAGCATTTTCTCCAGCATGATCTTGCCCTTTATTATCGCCACCGAACTTGCCTACATAGTTTTGAATAGCAGAAAAGTCAGCTTCCTCAACATCCAACAAGTATTTCTGTACTTCCTCTGGTTGTATTGACCAATTTGAATTTTGACGAATAATTTTCTGTTAAATTTTATAGGATATTTTACAGAATACATGTACAAATTTTTGCAACATGTCAAATATGAAAATAAATATGATCAAGCTATGAAGCTTGCCTAAATATACCTCAAAAACCATGCTCTAATAAATCTACTTAATCATTTTGTTTGTGTCGTCTGTACATGAATGAATCACTAAAAAATATTCAGATTCCAGTCTCTTTAGCTATACTATGTCATAATACCTAACAGATATATCGTCAAGCATTATTTGTTATCCCAAAGGCATAGGAGTAAAATGCAGATAATTATTGCCTTTCGCGGAAATGTGGACAGCGATCTAGACCTAGAGTGCCTCCAAGGATAAATCTCTAACAAATTTCGGAACCTAGTGGACTTCACTCATATATACCCATAGTTAACATATAGCCAAGAGTGTCAGGATAGACCATATACACTTACAGTTGCATATTATTGTTAGTAAACTGAGTGGTGTTTATGAAACTTATAGTGCTTTTCTAGTGTCCAACCAAAATTTAGAAATCTACTAAATAAATATGGGGAACAAGCAATTGAGTCAGTTAGTATCATCAGTTTAGAACCTACCGATTTGTAGGCTATTGTAGCCTTGAGGTTTTCCAGTTCAATTTCTAAGTCATGAACATAGCTTTTAATATCTATGTCAAACGTTTGTGGAGCTGAACATATTTGCAAAAGGATTATATGAAGTATGAATAGACACTGTTTAAACCGCATATTATACGGAGGTATCTAAAATTATAAAAGAATTATAGATGGAAATCAGATATCGTAACTCCAGATAGAAAATCAACATTATTAGAATAGACCCTTAATTATGGTCCCATTAATAGAAAACTCAAAGTTGACACAGGAATAACGTTTATTCATTGTAGAGATAAATTGTAGAAGGTGGTGGATTGACCTGGATAAAGCTTGAAACTCATGGACTAACCGGTCATTATGGTCCTAGATGATGGCTTTTTTCTATCCTAACATCAAACAAAAGCAAACACATAATTTATCAAATCATCCTGAAACCATTTTACTCATAACAACAAGGTATGGGAAACATTAAAAAATATACAGGGTTTACGGTATCTATTGCGCATTGCCTCAACTATAAACAAGTCCTAGGGATATTTTTTAAATTAAAATTGTTGAATAAAAAATCTAAAGTGAGGGGGAAAATGCCAGAATCCCTATATGAGAGGCATTCTAAGCTTCTCTCTCACCCCCCCCCCCCCTTCACAAGTCTGAGTAGCGCAAGGCTATGGAGGTAGTCACTTGCCTCTAAAATAAATTTGGGAGTGGGGAGAGGAGGGAGAAGTAAACGGGAGGGAGGGCAGGAATGTCAATAAGAGTCAGTCAATAAAGTTAGTCAATGCCAAGACTCGCTTGATTGTTAAGGCGCTTGAGAATCGGGCGCCGAGTGTCTCGCATTGTAACTGACAAAAATCCCTCTTAGTCCCTTCTCTTTATTTCTCTTCTTGCGCCCAAGCGACCCCGACCGCCATGTTAAGGTAATCGCAAGACAAAAAATTGACTGCCTAGTGCATCGAGAGAAGGCAATACATATGATTGTCGCGAGGCTATCACACATCGCGTGAAAATTATTCAATGTAAAATTCAATCAATTAAATTATTTTAAATAAATTTAATTAAATTTAATAAATTAATTTAATAGAAAAATGAAAATGTTGAAAAGTTTATAGGAGTTGAGAGAGAGATTTAAGAGAGTGTTGAGTAGGGTTGGTCCCCGACCCCGACTAACCCCGACCCCGACCCCGAACCCCGACACTTTTTGACCTAAAACCCCGACCCCGACCCCGACATTCCCAACCCCGAAAACCCCGACCCCCGAAAGTTCGACCCCGACGACCCCGAACCCCGAAGAATTTTTATGACCCCGACTCAAACTGCATTAATTAACTTTTATATATTTTTTTGTTGGCATTCTGCTAAAATTCTGATAAAACAAAAGAAAGAAAAGACAACTAAAAAAGAGGAAAAGAACTATTTTTATTTTTCTCTATTCACAGAGAATATTTTCCTGACAAAATTTAAACTAGCTTTTTCTATTCATAGTTTGGTTATACACAACTCATTTTGAATTTGTAATTTTATATAGGTCTTTAGATTTAATTATAAATTATATTAAAATGTCAACTAAATCTTCTGATATTTGGAATTTTTTTGTAAAATTACCAATGACTGATGAATCAGCTAGGTGCAAGCTTTGTGAAAATAAATTTTCTTGTAAAAAAAGTTCAACAAAAGGTTTATGGGACCATCTTAAGTCTATGCATTTGGCAGAATATGAGAAGTTTTTGCAAAAGAATACATCAACATCAGTAAGAGCAAACTAATAAAATAAGATTTTTTATTAACAGACTAATCTGGATATATCAAAATTTCTTGGTAAGGATGAGCCTCAAAAAAAAGCAAAAATACTTACAAAAAAATACTTACAAAAATACTTACAAAAACTCAAGAAAATTTAATGTTAAAAAACAAAAAATTAATAGCTTCTTGTCCGACTAGATGGAATTCCTGTTTCGCAATGCTAAAGGAATTCCGCGATCAAAAAAAAGTAATTATGGCTATAGAAGGCGAAAGAAGAGGTTTTGCTGCAAATCAAGCGAAAAGAGCAAAGACGGATTACATTCCTGAAAGTTTACCAAGTCTTGATATGTCTGATTTTGAATTATTGCGTGCTATATGCCCAATTATGGAAATATTTAATAAAGAAACCGAGAAGGTTGTTTCTAGTCTAATTTTGTTAAATATTTTTATATTTAGTTTTCCAAGGAGACTTCATCTGCTTCAACTGTAATTTCGACACTTAAACGTTTAAGAGATTTTTTACAGGTTTATATTAAATTTCTTTTTCAATTTTCATTTTCAAAGGAACAAAATTTCTCAAATCGTGTTGCTCCATTTGTGCAAATTCTTATTAGATCACTAAATGATCGTCTTCCAGAATTGAGTCATAATACGATATTAAGAATTGCCATGCTTCTAGACCCGAGATTTGCTTATAGTGATTTATTTCCGGGGGAAACATGGAAAAGTATTGAACAACAATTTATTGAATTTGCCAAAGAAGGTAAATTTACTTTTGATTTAATGAAGTACCTTTACATTTTTATAGAATTATTGGTTGTTAATTCTGCAGCAAACTTGGAGCCAGTGTCATTTGACCTAGAAGAGGAAATTTTATCTGAAGAAGCTGAATCAAGTGATCATTTAAGTACAAGCAGCGATGAGAAATGTATTTTTGCCATTAAAAATAAACTCACTAAAATTTAGATGATATTTGGGCAAAACCTAAATCCCCTTGTACTTCTACATTGCCAAATACAACAATTTCTGGTGAGGAGTCAGCAGATTTTGTGTCAAAGATTGAATCGCAATTGTCACAATATAAAGCCTGGCAGCGTGTTCCAGTTGATAGTGATTTATTTTCATGGTGGAGAGATAATGGGAAGTTCATTCCTGAAATGGCTAAAATTGCTCAAATGTTGCATTGTATTCCCGCAACTTCCATTTGTTCTGAGAGGCTTTTCTCGAAAGCGGGACTTATATATGCTAATACTCTCAGGAATAGGTTTTATTTATTTGTGATTAAAAAAATAATAATTTTAGATTGTCAGGAAAAACTGTCAGGCAAATACTCATAGTAAAAGCTAACTTGGATAAAGTACTTCTTGCGCCTTCAAATAATATCGAATCGGATTCAGAAAGTGAAGATAATGATAATGAAGATTAAGTTGATTTTTTTATAAAAATGTTGATTTTGAACAGTAATGTTTGATAAAAATGCTGGATTTTGTAAATTTTCACTTCAACCCCGACCCCCGACCCCGACCCCGAACCCCGACATTATTTTCAGCCCCGACCCCGACCCCGAACAATTTGAGCAACCCCGACCCCGACCCCGACTTTGTCAACCCCGAAAACCCCGACCCCCGACTTTTTCAACCCCGAAGGCTCGGGGACCAACCCTAGTGTTGAGTCTTTGCATTCGGAGTAGTCTTTTTTATGGAATCTAAGACATGGCCTAAAAATAAACTATTACACAAATTTGAGTGATTTTGGCAGTAACTTAATTTGTTAAAATTATTAATGGACACAAAATACCAAGGTACTGCACCCAAAAAATTTTTTTATCAGACTTTGCTTAACAATATTGCCCGTTGTTAAGGCCAAGTCTTGGTCTCGCTCTTTCGGTGTTTTAAAAAAATATCCTGGATCTTGTCATTTCTCGTATATGGACTAGTACAATATTTCAGCGGTCTTTGGACTGAAGCACCTTGTTATTTTGTGTACATACAGTTGTTTGATTGATAATGATTTGGAGTATGTCGGTGATAAAGTGGAATTATGAAGGATATAAGGGGATTTAGAGTTGAGGGGTAACATTAGATCTGAGCTCCAGAATGGCCAAGGCCTGTCTAAATTTTTATAGAAAAAGTAGAAATGTCGGGTTTCGGGTAAAAGTTTAGAAAATTCATCGGGTCGGGTCGAGTTTCTTATGTCGTTTTAGAGTAGCTTGTAATCTTCCTGTTATCTGGTGCCAATTTTTGTTTGAAACAATACTAAGAATAATTTATTTTCTTACGCTGAATAAATACTTCTCAACATTGTCTGGCCAGCATTGTCAAATGGCCAAACATATTAAAACATAAACAAAACAATTAATAATTTAAACAAGAGAAGAATTTTTAAAAATCTAATTTAGTCGCGATAGAGTCCCCCATGCTCGCCTTCACAAGTCTATTCACATTGCCAATCAACTGATTTTTCCAATAAATCAAAGTCATATATGTATATGGAGGGAGGATTCACGAGGGGAGAAGTGAGTGTCTTACAGCACGCTCGCGTATAAATCGCGACGACAATGAAAATAATTGAGAGGACGTCCCTCTCTTAAATTTTAAATGTCTTCTCTCTTATTGCCTTTCC